TTGAAAGAATGTTATGGTCTTTGGGTGAGATGGAAAAGAGGAGATTGAATATGTGATTGTTACTCCTATGTTGAATTATGGAAATGTCAGATTACGAAATTATATCTATCTCTTGAAATCTATATTTTGAATAGAGATATCTGTTTTGGCTATCGGTAGAGAATACCATTACGTCTTGTAGAAATTGCATATGAACTAGGTCAACTGGAACCCATTCACTCATGCATTAAACTTGAACATTGGTTTTATACTTATGCATTGAAAAGCATCATTTTGAGAAAAATGAGTGAATACCTTGGCAAATCTAGTTAGGAGGTGTGGTTGTGGTTATTATGTTAGCCTTTGTGTCCTTGGTGAAAGTTCAGAAACCCGTGCAATTAAGTGTCGATCTTTCCGGTTAATACCGGTAAAATAGCTTTTGATAGTGCTCGTATAGCCTAATTGTAAACACGTACCTAGAGATTCCCAGTGTGTGTAAAGGGAAAACGCATGTTTTGCAATGACATTTCATATACATTCACCATATGACTTTGTTCAGCATCATACAAATCATTAAACTCATCTCTACTAAGCTTTAACTCACCTTCTGTGAAAACAAATATTTAGGTGCTAATGGTATGCCTCCGTTAAGGAGATAGTTTGGGAGGACATTAGAACGGGACGCTCATTTTTGTTCTATAATTATGTTTTGTACAAGCCTAGGGCTTTTCCCATATTGGACTACAACCCACTTTTGTTGTAACCAAGCCATGGAAATTTGTAGCCGTTAGGAATGTGACCTTATCTTTATTTCCTTTTGTTTCTATATATCTGTTACTGAAGCTTGAGTAACCAGCTTAGGGTATGATGAGATATCATCCCTTATTTATAAATGAAGATTAGGGTTTACAAGGAAGACAATTACAAGATGATCCCTGAGTGTATACAAATGATTACAGAACCTATAGCTTTCGGCTCATATAATATTCTAAGTGCCTTTCGGTGATTATAATATGCCAACACTCCCCCTCAAACTGGTGCGAAGATATCTCTCATACCCAGCTTGCCTAATATGTCATGAAACGGTTTATTCCCAATTCCCTTGGTGAGAATGTCAGCAAGTTGTTCACCAGATTGAACAAAAGGAAAATAAAATAATACCAAACATAACTTAATATTTCTCATCTTTCAAACATAATTATATCTCATGCTAAGCTACTCAAATAGATCATTTTCCCCAAATTTTCTATACACAACAATTTTCACAACTTTTCCAAAGTTAACTAATCAATATGGTATTTACATTAAAAAAAAAAAAATTATCAAATATGCCCAAGAGTACACTTTTAAAGGTTAGGAGTTCAAAAGGCTACATTTCATGCTTTCATTTTCATAAAAATGAATCAAACCTAATCATCAATATATCAGCATTCATAAAATATTATAAATATAACACTTTTAGAGTTTTTAATCCCAAAACAACTCTATAATTCCAACTTAACCATTAAACATTTATTCATCAATATTAATTTATTTTTGAAAAATCAAAGATAAGATAATATTTCAACATCATTCTTTTCCTCAAATAAATTATCTAATCATAATATGATATAGATACAAACCATATAACTCCTATCATGCCATTTTTCCTCAACATAAACCTATCATAAATTTTAAAGCAATAATACTGAGATAATCCCTACCTCAAATGATGAAGAGGAACAAATCCAAAAATGTAAACCTCACCAGATCAAGAATCTGAGACTTCCATTGCAAAGAGTACGATGAGATCTCCAACTTCTATTGACAAAAATTTTGCAAAATCTCACTCTAAGGACTCCCACTCTAAGCTTGAAGCTTGAGTATCCATGGGGGAGAGAGGCGAAGCAGTGAGGGAGGGGAAGGGAAACCCTTTGCTCAACAAATGAGAGAAAAACAAATGAAGGAGAAAGAAAGAAATCTGATGGGGATAAGGAAAAGGGGAGGGGCGTGGGGGATAACCCTACTTGGGTTCGTTTCCCCACCGATGCTCACCTAACCTAACATCACAAAAATTAATACAAAATACATGGTAATTATAGCGGCCTAGGGTTGAGACCCGATCATTTTATACTCTTTGGTTTTGGATTTTGTATCTGTTGGTGTTGTTATCTATCCTGGCCCAATGTTATCATTTGAGTTGAGTTTTGGGGTTTGTTTGAGTTATATTGAAATAGGTGAGATTTTGGATTTTCTGGGAAGATTTTGGCTGGTTGAACTTGGGGTCGCTCGAGCGGTGAGTTGGTCGCTCGAGCAGTCTTTCTTTTGTTCCAATTTCTGAGTATGCAATCTGAACTTCTGGAAGTAAGGCTTTATTTGCTTGAGTGGTGTTTTGGTCGCTTAAGCGGTTTGTTTTGGAGAGATAATCTTCTATGAGTTTGGTTTTTTCACTCGAGCCTAGTTTTGATTGCTCAAGTGATGTGTTGTGTCTGACGATCGAGCGGTGTTTTGTTCGCTCAAATGGTTTGTTTGTATAAAGTTGTGAGGAAAGATCTTTTTGCTCACTTTTCTTATTTCTCTTTCTCTACAAATATCTAAAACTCAAAAGCTCTCACCTCTCTCTAGATTTCTTCTGTAAATCTTCTGATCTACTACAATTCATGAATTTCTTCACCCTAGTACTTTGGAATTAAAGTTAGAGCTCAAGGAGAGGAGCATTTTAATCTAAAAAAGTTAGAGTTTCGTTCGTCAGTTTGGGTATTATTCATCCCTTTTTCTTCTTGCTTTCAAGGTAGGGATTTATTTACTGGTTTGCATGTTACTTACCCTCGTTACGTGTTAGTTGATTAAACCAAACTTTGTAAAACTTTGGGTTTGATTTAGGCTTGAATTAATTCATAAAAGAGGTGGTTTTGGAGTGTTTTCTTCGAAAATGATGTTGGGTTATTGATGATAATAGTGACATTGGAACTGAAGGGAATTGTATTCAAATGAGAAACATGTGTTATTTTTGGCAAAAATGGAAATTCTTGGTGAATCTTGATTCGAACAAAAAGGGGTAAAGCCTTATGGAATTTGAAAGAATGTTATGGTCTTTGGGTGAGATGGAAAAGAGGAGATTGAATATGTGATTGTTACTCCTATGTTGAATTATGGAAATGTCAGATTACGAAATTATATCTATCTCTTGAAATCTATATTTTGAATAGAGATATCTGTTTTGGCTATCGGTGGAGAATACCATTAGGTCTTGTAGAAATTGCATATGAACTAGGTCAACTGGAACCCATTCACTCATGCATTAAACTTGAACATTGGTTTTATACTTATGCATTGAAAAGCATCATTTTGAGAAAAATGACTGAATACCTTGGCAAATCTAGTTAGGGGGTGTGGTTGTGGTTATTATGTTGGCCTTTGTGTCCTTGGTGAAAGTTCAGAAACCCGTACAGTTAGGTGTCGATAAAATGGCTTTTGATAGTGCTCGTATAGCCTACTTGTAAACACGTACCTAGAGATTCCCAGTGTGTGTAAAGGGAAAACGCATGTTTTGCAATGACATTTCATATACATTCACCATATGACTTTGTTAAGCATCATACAAATCATTAAACTCATCTCTACTAAGCTTTAACTCACCTTCTGTGAAAACAAATATTTAGGTGCTAATGGTATGCCTCTGTTAAGGAGATAGTTTGGGAGGACATTAGAACGGGACGCTCATTTTTGTTCTGTAATTATGTTTTGTACAAGCCTAGGGCTTTTCCCATATTGGACTACAACCCACTTTTGTTGTAACCAAGCCATGAAAATTTGTAGCCGTTAGGAGTGTGACCTTATCTTTATTTCCTTTTGTTTCTATATATCTTTTACATGCTATAGATTCATAATCTAGGATTGATGAATGTATTAGTGCATGTGACGTCGTTTTGTAATATTTTAAGGAGATAAATGAATGAATGATAGTTCTAATTTAGTTTTCGATATTAAATAATTGAGATTGGTAAGCTTCAGCATGTATGTGTGAGAGTTATAATGCATATCGAATATCGTTAATTTCGAGGTGTTACAGTAATAAAACCAAAAATTTTGTAACATAAATTATAAAATGATAAAATTTTATCTCACCACAAAAATATCACTTTTCTGTGCATCACAAAATATAATCTTCTGCTCACTACAAAATATATAATTTTTCACCTTATAATATGCACCATAAATTCACCTTTCAAATATTTATTATAATAATAGCAACTCTCAAGGTGGTCCCTATCATTTATGTAATTAAAAAGGACCAAACAGTTAAACATAACTTATACACAAACTCAAATTATATTGATTTTAAGTCACGGGTCTTGAATTAAATTCCCACCCATAAGCCAAACATGACCCAATTATATATCAAATTAGACCCAACAAACTTTATCTCAAGTCATGGTCTAAACACCCAAAACTCAACACCAAATTCTATATAAACTAAACTAAACGCCATTCAATCTATCAATTTTCAGAAAATAAATACTCATCCTTTCATTCTGAAATTTTTGTCTAACATGTTAGATTCATTTAGGAACAACATATAAAAATTTCATAATTTTCTGAGATCGGAAACTATTTTTAAAAAATACAAAACTGGATCATTCTCATACAGAATTTTACACAGCAGTCTAATCCAAATATTGCTCAATTAATTTATGCAATGACTTTAAAAAAAAAATTCTGGGTCATTACAGTATCACTTTAAAAGATTGTCTCTTTTACAAGCAAATTTAGTGATAACATGTTGACATAGTGGATTCTTTGTGCATTAAATCCTCATGGAAGAAAACATTGTACTTTCTCATTGTTATTTTTACTTGGCACAAATCACAACAGTTTTACATCACATGTTTGTTATAATACAAAACATATTCCAAGATATGCATGAACTTGCCAAGATGCCTCTCTATCCAAAAATTGAAAACACAATAAAGTAAACTAGTAATTCTATCTTTGAAATAAACAGAGATACCTTTAAAGCAGTTAAATGTAAACTACTCTACCTTTATAAAAGCATTTGATGGAATTCTCAAGATTCCCACAGCAGGCTCCATCTTTTCGTCACTTGAGAAAGAAACTTCAGGTTGAAACCAAGCACAAGTAACATGAACCCACAATGACTCAACATCAGTAGGTTTCAAAGCACCTCCTAAAAAGGAAAGAGTAAAGACAACACCATTATAAGATATTAACCCAAAAAAAAAAAAATTTAAACACTAAATATGCATTAATATATTCTCTTGATAATTATGAAGTCCACAAGACACTAAAAGAGCAAAGGAATCTCCTGATAGGACAGTAACCATCACTAATGGAACCAATGATGGTATTAATTTAGCAAGACTAATTTTCTACTAAACTGGTTTCTTTTTATTATTTTTTTAAAGTAACTTCAAAATTAACAATCCTCCACTTCCACAACCCGCAAAATTCTCCCTACTTTGAAAAAACTAAATAGTGGAAAGTGATAAAAGTACGGGTGAGGAGGATGTGCTAAATAAGACAAATCATCCTTCAGACAGCATTTCGCAACAATAGGGTAATCATTAGAAAGTTTTGCATTACGACAATGAACAAATCATGCTTCAGACAGCAATTTATAGGGAAAATTCCTGATGGCTTCTCTAATGGGAGCCTGAAAGAAAGGAAAAGAAACGGCAAATAAGCAATAACGACTCATGAGATTCCATTCATTTTAGGATCATGCCTTTTACAGGACAGAGGCAACACTCCCGCTTGATATCAGGTGTCTCACATGCTCGGCAAACCCAAGAAGTGAAATCTTTAACATTTCTTGCTCCATAGCATTCTTGATGGACAGCAATTTGGCATCTGATAGAAAAAATAGAATGTCAACAGTATTTTTCATATGATTAAAGTAATAAAAATTTAGTATGCATAAGCCATTATTGAATTTTGCCTTTAATTGTCAGACATTCTTGCCAAAAGGTCAAACTGATTATGTGAAGAAAATGCTTAACAATTGTATCTCACACAGATATGACTAAAAGCAAACAAGATGGTGCTCCCTTCTAGGCGCTTACCAAAGAATAGTGACTAGGGTTAACAGAATCTCAATCAGTTTCTGTCATTGGCTAGGAAGCACAAGTATGGGTATGGATGTGGGTGCAGGTACACCAATACGGCAAAACATAAAATAAAAAAAATAGGATACAGGTACGCCTGGGCACACCCAATAAAAAAATATTTTGATAATTTCTAGTAGTGTGTGATATATAACAATTAAACAATCCAATGCAAAAAATAATCAAAGTAACAATTAGAAAAGCATAGAACAATAGACAGACGATAGAAAAAACAGAGACGAAGATGAGTACTCAAAGGCAGAGGCTCGTTGAAAAAAATAGAAGAAGATGGAGAGACAGAGAGTCGGAAAGAAGAGGCAGCCAAAAAAGAACACTAAGTATTTTAAAATTTTTTGATAATTGCAAAAATACACTATATTTTTAAAGTTTTAAAAATAGACACAATATAATTGTTCTTGTACCCTTATAGTTTTTAAAATTTCATTTATGCCCCGACATACCCACAAAAGTACATGAAGCATACCCATCCAATAACCGAGTTATACCCATCCCGTACCTGGCACACATGCAGCTATGCCAGTATGTATACTCGTACCAAGTAAGTATCCGGCACTCATAGGGCAATATTTTTGGAGTACCCATGCTTCATGGGCTATTGGAGAGTGAAACATTCAACAATTGGACGGTCCAGAACAGCCAGACCAGAGTATTTTTACACCCTCGGCAATTCAAGGGTGCATTCAATGTTGGTCTTGAATTGTTGTATATGAGTAACATTTCCAAATACTGTTTTTCAAAAACCACCTTTCAAGTATGTATCATCAAGACATGAGATGTGCCATATTGACAAAAACCTGATGCATATAATTATTTTGTTGTAGTCCCAATCTTCAACCCATCTACATACTGCACACCGTTCTGTTGTCCATTTGGCATAAATGGGCTCATATTTCGCTGTAAAATTAAAATATTGTGAAGTAAGTTCACTGGTGTTACAGTAGTGCAGAAAAGTGGACCATATTAATTACATGCTTAGAAGATCGGTATACCTTGCAAAAAAGTAAGCAACTTCTGCTTTCGTGCTTTTATTGAAGGGCGTTTAAGAGAATTAGCAGAAACAACAGTACGTGCATGATACTCTGCTATCTGCAGCATCTGTGAAACAAAATGAGATTCTATTAGATACATGCACCCCTCAAGTGATCATATACAGTCAAAGATCTACAAAGGCATCTTTCATCACTAATACTACCATGTTGATAATTTACAGAGAGGGGAACAAAAAGAAAAAAGATGAAATAATATGTTCAAGAATGTAGAACCATCGGCTAGGAGCCTTTTCAGTTTAATTCAGCCCGGTTCATGGTCGAAGATCACTATATCATTCATATCTATCTATGAAGCATAGACATGGACACGGGACCGGATAACATGACATAGATGCGTTGATACGGAAATTCCAAAAAAGTAGGACACAGACACGGCTTGGACACGCCACAAATAATTATACGTTGATATAATATTATCTAAGAATAAATTATGTTATATAGTTTTATATGTGCATAATATATACAACATTAAATTACTTTATACTAAGTAAATCTTGTATCTAATTTTCTTACACGAATTTTTAGACTATTGGATTGGATCATAGTAGTTAAAAATTAGATAAACTATAGGAAACATTTATATTGCAATATTTCCCTCATCCTCCTAAGCCATCTATTTATACATTTTTTTAAAAGAATTATATATTACGTTATTCTTAAGAATTATACATTGTTTTTAAGAATATAAAATATTTATGCCAAATCCTCAAACTTTGAAAATCTTATGTTAGTAAAGTGTTGGTCTCATGTTCATATTTTTAGTGATAGACATGGCCAAGAGGTGATGGACAAGTCGTAAAATGAGTGTCGGACAAGTGTCCACAATTAATATTTTTAATTTTAATTAAGGACACAAAAAAAAGAGTATCGGGCATGTGTCCGAGAGTATTCGAGGAGTGTCGGTGTCTGACATGGACACGTCACCTTCTTAGAAGTGTTTGTGCTTCTTAAATATCTATCAACTATAGGTTTGATTCCCATAAAATTCCATCATAATTCTACCACAAACATGATATATACTTTAAATACTTGTGAAACAGATTTTTTTAAATATGTACATAAAAAATGTTTAAAAATTAGCTTCGTTTTCACCAAAAAAGATGAGGAAGAAGAAGAATCTAGTTGATAATACATCCTACCTACTTTTTACATGGTTATAAGTATTAACTATCAATATGCCAAGTTTTCTTGGGCTGCTAATACCAATAGCAGCCTATGGTTTTTGGAGGCCTCAGAATCAACATCAAAATGAGGCTTTATTTAATTAAGCCTTCAAAAAGTTGAATATGAGGCCTTTTTGCAGTTTGGTTGATTACTTTGTTAAAATTATACTCAATAACATTTTCTTGGTAAAATCATTAATAATATCAGAACAAATAATTTATATGATGTGAGAGAGAGACAAAGAGGAGAGAGATGGAAATTGAGGAACCAATGCGTCGCTGCAGGAGTCTTTGCCATTTAAAAGTGAGAAAAGAAAATAGTAAAAGTTTTGTGTTGAGTTATTTGTGTATATTGTTTGGTGTTTCTGCCCAATCTCAGCCCAAATTTAATTCAAGCTTTTGAATTTCTGTCTAAGCCCGCATCGAATTCAAAAATATGTTGTTCAAACTCTAAAAAAATTCAGATTGAGCTAGGGTTGTTTGGGTCAAGCCTGCTTAAGTTGCACCCTTAGTTATATCATTATGAGGACCTTCTAATGCTTAAACCCTAGACATCTATACCACACTATAGACCATTAAGTAGAAATTATGCATTGTAGAACAACCACCAAAAATTATAAAAATAAAGAAAGATATTGTGTACTGGAATGCTGAATGCAAGTCTGAAGCGAGATATGACCAATGAGATATGAAGGCATTGGAGTACATTTTTACTCAAGTGAGATCTGACCAATGAGATATGGAAGCATTGGAGTACAGTTCATACAAACATACATTCATACTCATTCATACATACATAATACACAAATCTATATTAGTGCAAACTTGGAGGTAGAAAACATAATATGCAGGAAACTAGAAGATCAACTTCAAGAACGAACCCATTGTTCTAGTGTTAACATGGAACCTTTCACCCTGACACTAGTCTTCCAATTTTTTGCTTTCGAACCTGTATGCCGCTCCCATTCACTAAGTGCCTGTTTTTCTGTTCCACAGGACCCACATTTGCAGACAACTCTGTCATGGATAGAGAGAGAAAATATATAAAAAAGGAGCTATATTTGATTTTGAGAACAGAGAAACTAAGGGTCTTGAAACGAAAACAATGTCAGCTGAGAATGTGATCATACTAATTCAAGCTGATTTGGCCTGTAATATGAAGCCCAAAAATATGCAATTTTATATCACCTATCATATCAATAACACAAGGATGCATTAGAAAAGGAAGGAAAACAATTTCTCAATTTCAAGTCATGGTATCTGCCCACTACTGGAAGCATATGTCAAATTCCCCAAATTTTCCCAACTTACATGGTTGTACACAAATTATTCCCTAGTAATAAATCAATGGCATTTTTTTACCCTAATGCTGAATGCGCTGCTCTTCAATCAATCCTAACATTTCCCGCAAAACATTCCAACTTTCCGATAATATGACATCAAATTATTCTAGACAAGACATTGCAGGGTAAAAACAAGAGCTGGACCATGAACACTAGCACAGTTAATTTTTAATTACAATAGGTTCTAAAGGACCTTGAGCTTATCTATATTCTCACATGCAAGTGTATGTACTAATTTATTTATCACAATAGCTACATTTGAAATAAAAGAATGCAATGTGCAACAGATCAATAATAATTTCATAGCTGGCACGGTCTGGCATATGCTTGTTTTTTCTTTCTTTTTTTCTTTTGAATGCAAGAAAATTTTATTGAAAAAGGGTAGAGTCTACAAAAAGTTGTAGGACAAGTAATCCTCCAAAAAGAAAAGAAACAAAGGCAAAATTACAACTCGCGTACAACTTCGCATTCTCTATAAATCAAAACAAAAGAACACCCTTAAAGGGAAATGACAATGAAGCTCAAAAAATAAATAAATAAATAACTAACAAATATTATCCCATAAGCCTTGAAAATCTTCGAACTTGTCTTGAAAAATTCTCGCATTTCTTTCCAAACAAATAACCCAAAGCATGACAAACAACACAACTCCAAAGTGCTCGGGCCTTTTTATAGTTCCAACTATGAGCTTCCATAATTTATGTTTAATACATATATCAGCCAAAATCAAATGATAATAATATACTAATTTTAAAAATAAAAACAAAAAAGGAAGAAGAAGAAGAAGAAGCCTACTGAAGTTAACTGTTACGAATGTAAGACAAAAAGCCTTATATAGAATACATGTGTCCCTCCTGGTTGCCAATTTGCTAACTAGGAACTAGTTTGCTGGTTAGAATCTAGCAGCAACTCAAGCTATTCGTCTGCTTCTAATGATTCATCTTGACAGACTATATTACTTGTAGCTCAATCCAAGAATACAGCCTGCTTGTAAAGGTGTTGAAATTTGAATATGCTGATACAGAGCTCAGCATTTATGCTACCATGTTCAGTCTCTTCCAAGCATATTGAATACATATATGTGATGGCAATAACGACAGAAAATCCTCAAGCCAACAGTTCTGGAAGCTACATTTGTTTAGTAGTTCACTGTTCACAGTAAGAAATCACAGGGTTTCAATTCTGAGAGCCATTAGCTACATTATTTGATTAGCAAGCAGCAGTAACAATACTGGATCAATATTTATCCAACAAATAAAGAAAACAAAAAGTAACAACACTGAATTGATGCTCTGAATCCGAGTGCCCCTGAAATGAACACTGTTCAATAGAGTATCATCTACTTTCATCATAATGCAAATTCTAGCCAGAGATCTTCATCAAGGAAAAAAGTTATAGTAATTGTTGTTTGAGGTGGGGATGGGGGGGCTTGAAGTTATTGCAAGAACATGAAGCTATAGATGCTTACAAATGAAGGCTTGGAGAATATACACCTTCCATGCCCGAGCAAACCACTGTAACCTTGTCAGGCAGCATATTATTGTTTCTGCAAATATCTACCATCATTAGATATTCAGAAGTAAAACATTTAATTTTGATCCCAATACCATATAAGTAGTAATCAGCAATAGATATTACAGACTTACTTGACTTTAGGCTGACAGATTTCTGAATCTGATAATTCAAAATTGAACTTTGCTCTGCATTCAGGGCAGTAATAATCAGTGGCCCCCAGATCCTGCAGAAAACAAGTGACTAAGTCAACCTGCATGCACATAGACCAAAAAGAAGAATAACACTGTAACAGTGCCGGCATGGCCATACCTTGGAAAGATTGCTAGAAATTTTATCACACGCTGCATGCACCCAAACTTTACAACTATCACAGCGTACCTAATTCAGTAAAAAAAATCCGAATTGTGAATTGAATTAAGAGAAAACAAAAATTATCTCCATAAAAGAAAATATATAAAACAAAATAAAATAAAAGTTTATGTCCATATATAGGGCGACCCAGTGCATGAGACTCTCGCTAAAGCAGACTTTAAGGAGGATAAGATGTATGCAGCCTTACCCCCATTTCTGGAGAGGCTGTTTCTGTGAATCCAACCTGCATCACTAGGGATGCTAACGACAAACCTTACCATTGGGCCAAGCCACACCATTTGCATACATAAAAAAATAAAATTACAAAATCAATTTGGATTGTATGCCTCACCCAAATGCCACTGTCCAAATGATTCCTAATCTTCTTGCATATGCCACAAGAATGTTTTAATTTTTTTAGCTGCAATGAAATCACATAGAATAGTCAACAATACACATCCAGCATCTGAATGGCTTCAGCGAACATTTTGGTACAGAATACTACAATTAAAACACCACAGCACAAGGCATACAATACGAACCCTAGCACAGGAATTACATAGGCAGCTTCCCGGGGTTGAAAACTTCATTTTATTGGAAGATTTAAGTAAAATATTCAATCCACAGCTTTCACAGGACCATGTCTCTTTCTTTTTAAGCACATCCTGCACAACGACAATAAAATTAGTAAACGCTAGTACAGAAATGACCAACCTTTATTTCATAAGAGAAAGTCTTAATGTACAGACTAGAATTCAACACTTAAAGAAAAACTAACCACAAATTCATGTCCAATGTCCAATACCAGAACTAGATATACAGTATGATATTCATTTAACACTCGCAGAAGTACAAGAACAATTCTGAGGTCGCTGATGTATTCCCAAAACTACCCAAACATTTAAAAAAGAGAAAACAAAAGCATGGATTTTAAACTTACACTTGCCTGGTTATGGATGTTGCATTCCTGATCCTGATTTGAACCAGTAACTTCCTGGACCCCTCCACGAATAGATTCTAAATAACCTAGATTTCCAGCTGCCGCATTAATTTCCACCATTAACATCTCAGTGAAGCCATGCTCCGCCAAAAATGCCTCTTCTATTGCAGACCGAAGATCGCTGGGCTTGCTATCATTCAAGTCTGTCTGCCCCTGAAACCTGACTCAAGCAAAGTTTAAGCACAATTGCAAAACCATCCAAATGTGAGGCAAAAAAACTTATCAATAACACACCTGTCTACATACTCCACGAATGGAAATATCATTCCACGTTTAACCCAAGCATAATCCTGCTCATCATCATTGTTACACAATGTCACTAAATTTAGACATTCTGATTAAACAATATAAACATTGTATTGTATTTATTTGTGTATAAGTCAATATATAGCAACTCAGTTAGGGGGAGAGAGAGAGAGAGAGAGAGAGAGAGAGAGTATAATTTACCCTTTGCGTTCCATTTCCAGAGTAGCCAAAGAACATCACACAAAATGCACCTGTAACCCGAAAACTCAGAACTTGTTGGGGAGCTTGTGTTAGAGGATTAAGAACAATAGCCGGCCACGCAGGATAGTTCTTTCCTGACATGGCCCAAACTATATCACCTGAAACAAACTCACCCTCCTTCAACAATCCATCATTACCAGCCAAATCTACAGGTTCCTCCAATTTCTCAATCGGGGACCTTTCTGTGTCATTCAATTGCTCATGGAGCGACGTTATTGTACTATGGGAACTCGAATACTTCTTCATGTCAAAACAATTCACTTCTTCACCTTCCCCTAACAATGGCGGCAATTTACAACATTGATAGCTAACTTTATTTTGTGAACGAAGTTTGGGGGTTTTGAAGCTGTATTTCTCAACGTAGGGATTGAATTCAGGGTCCAAACTCGATTCTCTAACACTAGATTTACTCTTCTCCTTCTTCCAATTATCAAGAATTGAATCATTGAATCTAGAAGGAAGTACCTGAACTCGTCCCCGAGACGTCCTCACGAGAGGCGGCCGTGAAGCCTCTTGTTCTGGAATGTTGCGCTCCTTCAAGCTCTCCTTAGTCTTCTTCGATTTCGAATCCACCTCATCTGCGCCAAAACGTTTCTCACCGGAATTCCTCAACAGCCCGTAGATACCGAAGGGAATTACACCGGCGGCGAGCTCACCGAGCAGATTGAGAGGAAAATAGCCGTTAATTTTCCGTTTCTTTCTCTTCGGGGAACTCTCGCTTTCTTCACCACCGGAATCACCAACTCTGCATCGCTTCAGAGTCGGCATTACCGATTTCAAGTTGCGCTTGATTATCATCCTCTCCAATCACAACCACCTCTTAATCCAAATCCGAATTCCGGCAAAAAAACAACTCAGAAAACCCCTAATTTCCACGAATTCAAGCCCTAATTTCCAAGAAAGAAAGAAATAAACTCGGCACCCACTCGAGAGAGAGAGAGGGAAAATAAAATAAAATTTTCCAGACGAACAAACAGAAAAAGATTGGAGTGAGGATCGAATTGAGCAAAACAAGAAAAAGAGGAAAGAAAATTGAGACAAAATTGCGCGGGAATTCGTTCGCGATCGAAAAATGGGGTCGCAGAGACGGTGTCTGAATAGGGATCTCTGTGCGACGAAGCTCTCTAACTGCTCATTAGTCGATAAAGATTTTTCTTTCTTTCTTTTTTTAATCTATAAATAAACACGCAACACTCACAAATACTCTATATAATAAAAAGCATAACTTCTAGCAATTTTTTTTTTCATTTTTGGTAAGGATTCATACATATAGATACCAGACGAACAAACAGAAAAAGATTGGAGTGAGGATCGAATTGAGCAAAACAAGAAAAAGAGGAAAGAAAATTGAGACAAAATTGCGCGGGAATTCGTTCGCGATCGAAAAATGGGGTCGCAGAGACGGTGTCTGAATAGGGATCTCTGTGCGACGAAGCTCTCTAACTGCTCATTAGTCGATAAAGATTTTTCTTTTTTTCTTTCTTTCTTTTTTTAATCTATAAATAAACACGCAACACTGACAAATACTCTATATAATAAAACATATAAGCATAACTTCTAGCAAATTTTTTTTTTCATTTTTGGTAAGGATTCATACATATAGATATATAGATATGTATGTATATGTGTATGCTGAAAGTTAGAGAGAGAGAGAGAGAGAAATTAAAGAAGGGTATAAGTCGCGTAAACGAGCGAGGCGTGCTCGGTCTTCGGAGGAGGAGTCAAATTTCAGAGATTGCTTTGCTTGCATGTGATGATGTAAGTCATAATGGTTTGGCTCTCTAGAGCAGCACACACAGAGAGATATGTCAAGGAGTGTGTTCCAAGAAACTTGGAACCATATTGTTAAAATTTTAAAATTTTTTTGGGTTGTGTAATTTCAACCAAATATAATTTTATTTAATTTAGTTCATTTAATTTGAAACCCAGTTCATTTAATTGTCCAAGGTAATGGTGGTGGTGGTGAAGCTCCATATTGGTTGATTTTTTGGTTGGCAAATCTGTATTTTAATGGTTTTTACTCAAATGCTTGCCTGTAAGTTATGATTTGAAGAGGATGACCTGTCTGTCTGTTTGTCTCTCTGGAAAACCAAACCACCATTTTTTTTTTATAAGCGGCATGAATGGAATTTATGAAATTTTTATATTTATTTATTTTTGTGTATGAGTTTTGTATGTTTATCAGGGCTGTTTGGCTATCTTCATCCTAATGGGTCTGCTGATCAATTCTAATTTTTTTATTTTTTATTTTTTTAAATCCTCCATTTGTAGTGTATGTTGAATTTTATTTTTATGTGTTTCGCAAATGGGTGGTTCGTTAATGGGTTGTGTTCTAACTATGCCTGTTGAAATTGGCTTTGATGACATAAAAGCAGAGAAATAGTGTTGTAGCAGAAAAAATTACTTACACAAGTTGCATCACCGAAAAAGTAGACCGGAGACCACTGGAATGTCATGTCCTCAGAAGACCTCATGAATCTTCAGTTGAGTCGACGAGAAAACAATGACGACGATGACGAGGAAGAAATTTGAAGTTAATTGAATTTAATTCTCTGTTCACTCCGACAATGATAGTAGTATGCAGACCATGCTTTTGTGTAAGATAAGAAGAAAGAAAATATATTGAAGTATCAAAGAGAAGACATGAATGAAAATAAAATGAACTGTTTGAACTAGCTAGTAGATCTGTTGAGCGAGTCAGGTTAACCTTCTTACCATTCCACACGCACAGATTAGGAGGAGGAAGAGGAAGACAGAGAAAGAGGAAGAGGTTTAATGATGTGTTTGGTTGGGGGATTTATGGATGAATTTGGAAAGAGAAAGGGAAAAAGTGTGTGAAACTAGGTGAAATGTAAGTATATTTTATTCACATTTCACCTAACTTTTCTCTTTCCCTTTCCAAATCCCTCCTCAAATCCTCTAACCAAACTCTCTAGCCAAACACAGCTTAAAGCTCTTCTACATTCAAAAACAGTAAAAAGAGAGGTGGGCACTTTCAAAAATTTGATATTGTTTTTATATTTATAATTTTGTTCACAAAATCTAAAAAATAGTTATATTTTCGTTTAACTAGTTTGCAAGTCGTGTCTCTCTTTCTGCACGAGGCTGGGTTTAATAATTCTGAAGTTTACGGGTGGTGCATTGGTGGTGAATCCACGGTATTGAAGAAAGTTGTTAGTGCCACCTTGCCTCCTGTTTGGCAATTTGAAATTTTAGTTAAAAACTAAAAAAATTATTACAAGTTTTCATATCACTCTTTTTATTTTTTTATATATCTTTTTTATAAAAAGTTACAAAATTACTAAAATTGTTTGATCCTAAACCAATTAACATGATTAAAATAGTGAGAAAATTAATTAATGTGTTTGGTTTCAGTTTTCTGAACTCAGTTTTTTAAAGATTGAGTTTTTTTTTCTTCTTTTTAATGAATATTTTTAAAAATTCTTAAGCAATTTTTTTACTTTTTAGATGCGCCTTACTTAAATGTATCTAAATAGTAAAATATTTGTGAAAAAATATTTTAAAAAATTAATAAATATACAAAAATAAGAAAAAATGTACTGAATTTTTATATATTTTTTTTGTATTTTTTGGTATTTAGCATATTTTTTAAAGATTTTTTTTTACAAATGTTATACTTTTTAAGTGTATTTGTGTTAATTGTGTCTAAAAATTAAAAAATAATTGCTTAAAATATTAAAAAAATTCATTAAAAACATTAAAATACAAAAAATAAAAAAGTAAAATTTTCTAAAAATTATTTTCTAAAAATCAAAACCTAGAATTTGTTATCTAGTAAAATGAGTGAGATACATAATTTTTTTGTCCGCGTTTGTTTTGTAATAGATATAAAAAAATATATTATAACAATTATATGTATGCTTTGCGTTATTAGCTGTAGGATTAAAAAATCCGTTAATTTTGTATAGATAGAATGACTATTGGAATCTAATCAAATATAAAATTTGCAACCAAATAATGAAATCTCATGAATTAATAATATCAATTATATGTTAGAGCAGCTCTAATGCTTAAAGGCAAAATGCCTATTAAGGCCCCATTTGATTATTCAGATTGGATATAAAGGTTTGAGAATGTAATACCTAAGAATAAAGATAGGATATAATATGTTGTAGGATATGAGATGAATTATATATTGTGGGGTCACTTATACTATGTGGATATAAGGGTTTGAGGAGGATATGTAATACCTAAGGATAAAGATAAGATATAATATATTGTAAGATATGAGATAAATTATATATTGTGGGGTCACTTATACTATATTTGGTTAAGATATGATATAAGATGAGATAAGAGGAGAGTGGTTATTTTTGACATTTGGATGAAATATTCTCTATATTCGACAGTAGGGGATATACAATACCATTGGGGGGTGGTATCCCCCTCTTATATCATATACTATCTAAATTCCCTATATCTGGAGCAACTAAACACGAGGATATAGGAAGACAAGAAAGGAAAATGTTTGGTAACTCGAATTTTTGTGACTCGAAGGGCTCGAATATGTCAAAACGACGTCGTTTTTTATGTTTCGAGCCATTTGAGCCATGATTTTTCGGGTCACCTATCATTGTTGGACTAGAAAACATGTGAGATTTGTAAATATTTATAACATGTTCCATATGCATCTAATGTTGAAGTGGTTATTAATGTGACATTTGTAAATATTTATTTTGTTAAAATATAATGTTAATTATTTTTCTAAATAATATAAAATATGATCCATGGACTAGACGAGAGAAGCAACGATGAAGAGATGTGGACCTGAGAAGACCCTTTGCTTAGCAATAAATGCTAAGTACTTGCGGAGAGTCTAAATAAAAATTGACAAAATGCCTCTTGTGAGGCAAAGTACGTTGGAGGAAGACAAATACAACCTTACTAACAAAAATGGCTAATACAACTCCTTTGCCTCCTCTTTTGGAGTTGTTTTTAGAATTTGCTCAATTAAACAAACCCTTAAAGCACATTTGGTATAGTGGAATGGGCTGGAATGGAATACCCATTCTAACTTTGCATTATCTTTTCCTTATTTGGTACGTCTTATTCAAATGGGAATAGTCATTTCATTAAAATGATTATTCTAACAAAATATAAGAATGTTTATTCCTTCCTCCAACCTAAGGAATGACCATTCGATTCCATCATAGAATTACTATAAAATTTTATTATTATTTTATTGTTAGCACTTAAAAAAAAATATTATTAATTAACTATTACCACCATTCCGTTCTTCTACCATCCTATCGCCATCGCCATCATCACCACCCTATTGTCACCACCACTATAGCGACCCCGGTCTTTTCCCATTTGTTTATTGTATCCGGACTTAGGTTCCGTAGCTCCTGCCGTTGTATTATGATTGTTATCGTCCTTTATTTTCCTATTTCTGAGTTTGGGGATGCAATGGGCAGGTTTGTAGCAGGTTGGTTGGGCTTGGGAGCAAAGGGTTGCTGCCCAGAATTTTGACCCTTCGCTCGAGCGAGCAGTTCTTCGCTCGAGCGAGCTCTTTGTTTTGGTCCGTCGCTCGAGCCAGGGTTTCTTCGATCGAGCGAGGATTGCATCGGTTTGCGTGCCCGTGTGCACGCATTTCGAGGCACTTCATTTTTATCCGCCGGCATCCTATGTGAGTGTGGCTGAGGCTCACTCATGTTGGTATAAGCCCATTTGTCATTCCCAAGCCATTTCATCGCATTCCATCATTGCCTCGGTTTGCGTGCCCGTGTGCACGCATTTCGAGGCACTCCTTTTTTATCTGCCGGCATCCTATGTGAGTGAGGCTGAGGCTCACTCATGTTGGTATAAGCCCATTTGTCATTTTCATGTCATTTCATCATATTTTATCATTGCCTCGGTTTGCGTGCCCGCGTGCACGCATTTCGAGACACATATCATTGCCTCGGTTTGCGTGCCCCGCGTGCACGCATTTCGAGACACATATCATTGCCTCGGTTTGCGTGCCCCGCGTGCACGCATTTTGAGACACATATCATTGCCTCGGTTTGCGTGTCCGCGTGCACGCATTTCGAGACCCATATCATTGCCTCGGTTTGCGTGCCCGCGTGCATGCATTTCGAGACACATATCATTGCCTCGGTTTGCGTGCCCGCGTGCACGCATTTCGAGACACATATTATTGCCTTGGTTTGCGTGCCCGCGTGCACGTATTTCGAGGCACCTCATTTTCCATAGCATTGTACATGTTAGGATTGTATCCTAGTTGCATTTCATGCGTTTCATGCATTATCACATCGTGTTCGGGATAGGAGTTAGCCTGGGCGCGGGAAACGAGGTACATTTCGTACTCCGAGTGACGGAATGTGTCTCAATTCCCCAGTCACCGACACTCTGGATTATCCATGATGGAGTTAGGTTTTAGCTGTAGTTTCATGTGCATTCATCCTATATTGAGTTGTGCATTTCGACTCCTCGTGTTTTTATATCCAAATTTGTATGCTAAAATGCAAAATTAAAACCTAGGGTAGCAAAAGCAATTAGAGGAAGAACTATGTGACCTGGGTTACTTCTGCAGAGGAGACCTAGATGATAACAACAACAACAATTAGGGACAAACTAGCTTTATATCTCCAACTCATCATGAATCCACAAAAGACCTAAAAATTAAATTTGCAAATTTAATCAAAACTAACAAAGATCTATGTTTTTCTCTCTGATATTTGAGTAAATTCATGATCTTTCACTTTTGTCACCGACACAAAAACCAAGAAAGAAAAAGGAAACGAAAACCCAATGCGAGAATAGTTTGTGGTTGATCTGGGCACTTGTTGTTGCTCTGGCTAGAGAGAGAATGAGAGATTTAGAGAGAGAGAGAGAGAGAGAGAGAGAATAGAAGTAGGAAAGGCCGACAAGTAAAGAAGCCATGATCGAAACCCTAGTTTCTACCGTCTCTATCAAACCCTAATATACCACTCTTTTCTCAATCTTCTTTGCTGCTCTCTCCGATCTCTCTCCACTCTATTCGATGACCATCTTCGAAATCTCCAACCAGACCTGTAATTCTCGAATTTGAAGACAAAAATATGTATAGAAATCGAGGAGGAAGAGGAAGTGGAGCCTCAAAGTTGGACCGTTGGATCGGAAACGAATCAACGAGGCATTAGATAATCAGTTGGACAAATTTCTCTGTGATATATGAGTGTAGGGTTGAGGGACCTTAGACATCATAAAATAATATTATGGATTTCTTTTATCACTAAAAATGAGAGAGGGATTTTGGACTAATTTTCTCATTAATGTCCCTCTCCCCAGATTTCTATGCTTTAGCATCCTCGCATGCGTGTGAGTGACTGCCATGAATAGCATGCTTACCATGAGGCTATGTGCTTATGTGATATATCTGCCTGAATGCCTGTGGGTGAAGGTTGAGTTGTTTAGATTGGAATAAATCATCGACTGTTTGTTTTAAGCCCACTAGATAGTGGCAAAACCATCTTTTCTAAACCCACCTGCGGGTGGTAAAATCTGCATTTTAAGCCTACTTGGGAGTCATCAAACCATTTTCAAATAAACAAGCATGAAATGTTTTGTTCCAATTCAGGCGATCCAGTCTATACTTGTATGCTGTGCGCATCATATAGTAACCTAGGCTAATAACCGGAATAAGAATTCACAATGTTTTCAAAAATTGATATCGTGGTTAGTAGAGGCCGGTCTATGACCGGGCGAGCGGGGGTGCTCACGAAGTGACCTTCCCTAATCGTACCCAAGTTCCCGAGCCGAGGCAACTTTGGTGATGACGGACACGTGGCCTTTTGGCACCGAGTCAGGGTTTCCTAAATTTCCCAAAATAAAATATTTAGGTGGCGACTCTGTATCTGGCAAAGCAGTCCATGTTTGGCACTTCTTTAAAAAAAAAATCTGTTTTCTAAAAACGATTTGCCGGATTTGGACTCTTTGGTTCAGATTTAGAACCGTGACTACAAAGTCGGGTCCGAGCTGTAGCGAGGTCCCCCGCGGGCTTGTTACACCTTTGCTTAGCAATAAATGCTAAGTACTTGCGGAGAGTCTAAGGCCAAGTTTGGCATCCTTCAAAAAATCCAAAAAGTCAAAAAGTCACTATCCTATTTAAGTCACATCACCTCTCTAACACATCACTTCAAACCCAACCCAAATCCATCCCATATTTCATAAAAAGTCAAAAAGTGCACTTATTTAGTCTTCCCAAACTTGTAAAAATTGACAAAATGCCTCTTGTGAGGCAAAGTACGTTGGAGGAAGACAAATACAACCTTACTAACAAAAATGGCTAATACAACTCCTTTGCCGTATAATGATGTAATTGATTATCTTGGTTAACCATCTATTAAATACTAATGCTTTATTCAATGCTTATATTTGGTTTAGTATATTTCTATTGGGCTGTGGCTCACCCTTTATGGGAACATCATTTTCAGGTCCAGGTGATAAGCTACCTCCCAGGACTTAGCTTGGAAGGATTTGGATTTTGAAGACTATCTTTAGTTGTTTGTTTTTATTTGATAAATAATCAAGCCTAGGGCTTTATTTGTATTTGAGTTAGAATTCATATTTTGTGTCCAAGTGTTGGCTTGGAAGGATGTAAGCCCATAGGGCATTTAATTTGATGTTACATGTAATGTTTTTATTTAGTAATACTCTGATGAATGAATTAATAAATTATTTTCTTTAAATAATGCATGTTGATGATATACATATAATGGGTTTATTTTGAGGGCGTTACAACCACCACCACCACCACCACCACCACTACACCACCATCACTGTACTACCAATGTTGCTACTACTATCACCAACACTACCGTTGGCCGCTACAACCGCAGCCACCATCACAACCACAACACCACCTTACCACTACCACCAAGGCCACAATAGTTTACTACGACTATCCTATTATCCTTGCATCACAACCACCGATGTCGTCGCCGTCGCCGTTGCCACTACCACCACCGCAACCACCACCACCACTACAACTCACATCATCACTTTCACAACTATCAATATTATCATGATTTATATAAAATTTTACTAGCTTGTTAAAAAAATAAATAAAATAAAAATTTATTCCATTCCATGAGTTCAATAGGTATAACCAAGCATGAAAATGAGAATTATCATCATATTCCTATGTCATTTCATGCTTGCAACCAAACAATGGAATGGGAATGGACATTCCATCCATTCCATTTAACCTTGTGTTCCATTCTGACTTTCATTCCATTTCCACTTCATTTCATTCCATTGTGTCAAACATGTTCTTATAGTACATGCTCCTAAAAAGAGATATGCATGTATACGTAACAAAATTACAACGGTTTGTTACAATCATCACTTAAATTTTTTTTAATAAAAATATATATTGTGGTGGGTAAAAAGTGAACTACTAATTCTATAGTGACGCTCCAATGCGGTTTGAACTCGAATGAACCTAAATGCACTCAAAGAAGATGAAAGGTCTGGCAGATAGGGAATTCTCCGATGACTTAAGTCAGTAAACTTATAAGCAATGGAGCAAAAAACTGAGCGCAAGTATGGTTGTGAATGATTGTGTGCCTGAACCGCATATGTTTCTCTTATTTATACCTTACACTAGCTGTTATGGTCTGTTTTGTTCCCCTTTCACTCCTCACGTCAACCCCACTTCTTGTGGGATCATGCTCCACTATATGCGGATTTCTAGGAGAGGTTGCCCCAAATAATTAGAACCACGCTTTTGACTAAGTCTGCTCTTTAAGTCCTTGCTTCCCGACTCTAATCATCTAGACCTGAACCCCTAGTTCTCGACTTCTGATCCTGGTCCTCTGGTTTTATGGACCTGGATTTCTGGTTCTGCTACTTCACTAATTGAGTTACATGCTGTCTGATCTGCCTTGCTTAATCTGGCCGCTACCCCTTTGTAGCTCAATTTTTGATTCACATATATACATATATATATGAACAAATATGGTTGGAAGAAGATATGCACCCAATGCTCCCAGGACTAGGCATGAGATTGGACTATGAATGAATATATATCATGCGATCTAGCCAGACCATATTGGCATGGACAGGCCCTGCCCTAGATTGGACAGGCAGGTTGGTTTATGGGAAGCCCCCTAAAATCTCTCTCTCTCTCCCCTTCACTGTCATCAAGCTTCATCAATTGATCGGGAATTTCACGTTCTCATAAATTTGATCAATTTGATAGCTTCAATTACACAATTGTCTGTATTTACTGAAGCCTCTTCAAATCTTTTATTCATGGCTCGTGACGATCACTAAATTTGGATACAAATTTTGATTATGATCATAATATACTCTTTCCACATTGTTATATATTCCAAAGTCACAAAAGAGTAACCTTCATTTGAGCGGATTATGTAGAACAAGTGCAACACTATTGACTTCTTTTATTCCACAAACACTATATACAACCCCAGTCGGGACATTTTGATCTACACAGATTATTATAATTACAATACAGAACATAAGAGATCAACTCGCTCGCCGGTGGTTGGGGATCCTTCTTATTGAGCAAAACCCGTTTTAAGCTTCTGCTGAGCTTTAAGACACAGGCTTAATACATTACTGTTACTCTCATTCGTTCATAACTGGCATTTTTTTCTTGCTACTTCCACTCCAACATTCCTTCATACTGGTGTACGTAGGCAGATAGGTCAACAGTCATTGCTTCTTGGAAATGTCAGATTCTTCTGTCTTTGCAAACCTTCCGCGAATCCTTGGCTGACTATCAGCCAGAGCCTTTCTGCAAGCATACTGCAAGTATACTCCCCCATCAGCATATTAGCCAAAAAAATTGACTAAGGTTGTGTTCAAATCATATAAATTGCTAATTTTTCTACCTTGTACGCAAACCACGACCCTTTATCCCGGAAAAATAAATAAATAAATCTGTTGATGCCCACTCATTGCATGGTGGCAATAATTGGAAAATTAATTGCCAATTGAGCAAAATGACCAAGGAGGACGTCAATAACATGGCAAAGAAGGGAAAAGAAAAAATGACAAAAAAGAACCAAATTAGAAGAGCACCATGCCACATATGCTGGTCCAAAGTGTTCCGACTTCAGAAACCCTAGGGACTGACAGCTGGATACCATGAGCTGCAATTATGGCCAGAATTTTTTACCAAAAAAATTATATATATAAAAAAAAATTGTTAATAAAATAAATGATCTTGTGGAGGTGATCAATATCTGATCGACATATACAAAAGTTACAAGGACAAGAATCTCCTTGGAAATGGGAATAAAATCAACATTGTTATAATCTTTAATTAGTATATCCAGAGAAAGTAAGGTGCAAAAGTTTGAAAGGAGATGTTGAAATCCTGGAAGTTATAAGTAAGATGATTTTAATTCATTTTTTTAAAAGAGGAAGAAAAGATAGTAACCATTTGGCATGGTTACAACAAGGGTATTGCTATGGTTACAACAGTTGAAATTTTAAGTAGGTTGGCTTCTCTTGAAAAGAAAATTGAAGGCAAGGATTGTAGGATTTCAAATGAATTAAATCACAGCCTTGGACGTCGAACAATGTTCCTACCAATCATCATTATAAAACCCACTGTTCCATTTCAAGTTGGGATGTTTAAATGCTACAGGGTATCAATCTAACCTTAGGCCTCGTTTGGGAACAGGTTAATTTAGTAACTTTTTGGCTATTTGGCTAAAATATGAGCTAAAAAATATTAGTATGTTTGGGATAACTTTTTGGCTTTTTAAGAAAAGATGTGCAAAAAATAGAGAGAAAAGAGAATCTTTGACTTTTTTGTATGGCTTGTTGACTTTTTAGTTTTTTTAGTGACTTTTTTACTTTTTGGCTAAAAAAGCCACTTGCCAAACGAGGCCTTAACCACAAAATGACAGATGATTTTACATAAAGCTCTCAAAGAGCAGAAAATCAGTCAACCTGCTGCCATGATAAATGAATGGTGAACTCCTAATTGCTAACAACCCGGACCAAGAATGAATCTAATGCAAAAACATTGAACTTGAAACTTTTCAAGTTTGAGCAGAAAAAAATGCTCTTGGAAGTCAAAGAAATCTCTATTAACATCGTTTCATTTGTCTTTCAGAGCAGAAGTGAGTACGAGACTGAGGAGATTAGAACCAAGTGTCCTCAACATTGTGAATGACACAAATTTTGGTTGCATATGGTGAGCAATGATGGGATAACAACGAAAACAAGGGGAAACAGAAAAGCTTAATTATAAATTACCTTGATTTTCCTACCAAAATTCCTCTTTGACTTCTTGTTCCTGTATCTGGAAAGCTTTTGCCAGCGGTCTTCAGTGGTACAGTTGCTGATAACTTGTGGCAGCCCAAGGGGAGAATGGATGAGGCTCACATTGCCATTGGAAAGAGTCTGTCATAAAAACTCAGTATCAATGATCCGGCCCCATCCTGTTGAAATGACCAGAAACATCTAAACATTTCTCAGTTTGTAGACTTCGTCACAAAACCAATGAATGCTCAGGGCTCAATCAAAATTATAAATTTATATGGACCTGGTGGGATACACCAGATGGACAGGAAAAGCGAAACTAAAATAAAGAGCTCTTCAACAAAATATTTAGGATTAACTGCTTAGGAATAAACATACACACACATATATGTTATATATATACATACATATATATATATATATTAAAGATTAGTTGCTTAAATAAACACACACACACACACACACACAAACACTTATATATTACATACATAGATAAAGGATGAGCTGCATGCCAACAACATGAAGTCTCCTAGATCCCCTGAACTCCACAACCATAACAGGGGCTCAAAATTTCTTAGGAAACCATGTAACAGGCTCCAATTGAAAATTAGAGAGAAATAAAGATAGGACAGAGATGAAAAGCAACATGAAAGAGAAATTAAAGTTGACCTTTATGTCGCCTTCACTGAATGCCCTTCGCAACCCATAAACAGCACCAAGGTCCATTCCAGAAAAATCCAGAAAGTTTGGCCTCATTGGAGCCCCAGGTATATGCTCCATTGAGCTTAAACATCCTGAGCTAACGCTCTTCTGAAATGACCCTTCAGGAAACACTTTGTCCTCTGCAATAAGGTTTTCATCTGTCCCTACAACAGGAATCTTTATATCTAATACATCAGAAAGTGGTGTTTCGATAGCATCTTTTGCCAAGAGATCCTTCTTACATTCATAGAAAACCTCACTCAAAAGTTGCTCATTTTGAATTGATTCAATATCCACAACCTTGAGTGTTTGCGGGGATATGACATCTTCCCCGCAAGAGATCATTGAAATGGCAGCTGTCATGGGATCAAGGCCCACAGCTGGTTCTTCAATAATGGGTTCTGGAGCTTTGAATAGATCCCCTTCTCCCCCCAAGTCATACTCTGATATGCTGGAGGTCTGAACCAGGTTGCCCTGCATTAGAAGCAAAAATTCAATAAATTTCAAAAGATTACATGTGCTAAGTCATTACTGACATATATTAAAGACATGCAGAAATGATAAATAAAAACACTAAAACACAACTGGGATCCAGATATCACAAAAATTATCGACCATAAAAGTATTTTCAAAATTACTAATCATTTGAAAATTACTAATCATTTGAAAATTACCAAAGAAAAAACTATTATTAGAACCATAAAACCTTGATTCTCTTCCTATATGCAAGAAACAAGCTTCAATAGGTGCTTACAGAGTTCAAAGAACAGTTTACTCACAAGTTACAGGAAATCTGTAATGTAAAACTGACTCAAGAGAAAAGGCTTATTATATGGCTTCACTCAATTGAAACAGGTAAATCAGGAGGAGAATTCATTTATGCATGACCTCTTAGTGAAAGGTGACAACTTTGAATCAGATTACTTCTTGAGGTTATGCTTAAAAATGAAATAGGAAAAACAGGATAGTCCAAAGCAAGGGCAAAATGCAACTCATGAATTATAGCAGGAACATGATGATGAAGTCAAGTCATGTAAACTTGGCCAAATTCAGAAATTTTCTGGGTATATATAAATATATGACAGTTAAAACCAGAGGATATTTTGTTGTATAGATGCTTTAACAGAAAATTATTCAAGGTTCGGGCCAACAGTAAAACAAAAGCAAAGAGAGGAGAATCCATTGATACCATGGCAAAGAGAGATCAAATTATGATTCATGGCATATTTACATTCTCCAAATATTTACTAAAAGTGAAGTGCTAAAATGAATTAATACTAGAAATTTCAGCATATGGATGATCAAAACATGGAATGAGACAGAAATCCCAAAACATTTCCAAATACTGAAAGTTCACATATTAGAATTTGCTCACTTAAGAGGCAAAGACTGTTTAGTTAGTCCTAATAGCATCATTTCCTATGAAGCAAGGACACCTCTCTGGAGGTCACCATTTCAGAGGTCACGTACGAGTGTCGGACACATGTCGAACATTGACAAGCGTTGGGCACGTGTCGAATATGCTGAAAAGAGTCTGACACACTTGGACACGGTAAAGGACACTGAGGAATTTTTTTTAAAAAAAAATTAAAATTTTTAACCTTTTTACTAAAATAGCAGGTTGATAAATTTAATAAAATTAAATATTTAACATAAAATATATATTAAATATTTAAAAATATGATAGATAACAAATATATAAAATTATATATTTTGCATGTGTTCCTAACATGCCGTGTCTTATATTTTTTTTAAAATTTATGTGTCCATGTCTGTTTCACCGGTCCGAGCTTCTTAGCTCCTCTCCAAACAACTAAAATGTCAACCCTAAATATCCAGAAAATGCCCACTTTTAAAGAAGCAGAGATCAACAGCAAGTTTTCCAAAGAGTATCCTCCTCTTTCTAAAATTAGTTTTGACACCAAAACGCAACACATAAGCCAACAACAATGTAAGGCCAAATTTGCTTTTGCTTTTCTGTAACTTTTTTTTTTCTTCTTTAAGTTGTTCGGCGTAAAGTGAACCCCCTTAAACAATAAAGTTGACATGGGAATAGAAAGCTGAGAATCATGATTGAGATGGAAAAACAAATCCGATTCTACTTGGGTATTTTTTAGTGGGGGGGGGAAAAAAAATGGAAAAGAAGTATAGAATGCGGAACTCACGACCTATCTTTTTGTTTCCAGATCTAGCATATAAATGAGAAGCTTAAAGTTTCACTGTTTGGTTGTCGAGAAAATGCTAAAAGTCAGAAAGGAAAAACAAAAAAACAACAAAATAAGTCACTAGATAATGAAAATTTCAGTTTTTTTCTTTCCGAAAGGACCAAAAAAATTTGAAACTTGGGTATTTTCGTGAATTTTTTGAAAAAATTAAAAATAATAGTAGTAGTAATAATTAACTTCAAATTTTAATTTTCCTTCCATTTTTCCAATTTCTCTCAGCAACCAAACTCAAATCCCCAAAAATTAGACAAACACGCCAAAGAATTGACCTTCGAATGCAAAATTCAATTCAGCTCTAAATCAGACCATACTTGATTAGCCAAAAAAAAAAAAATCAGAAACCCTAACTCTACAAGGAATGGCAAACGAAGTGAGTCAACCAAATCAACAGAAACAGAAAGAGTACAAAGTTAGAGAGAGAAAGTAAGATCGATTGAGTTCATTAGCAAGAAAAAGCAGAAACCCTAACTCTGTAAGAATGGGAATGAAAGCTCAATCTCATCAAACAAATGTCAATCAGTCAACCAAATCAACAAAGAATACAGAGTTAGAGAGAGAAAAAACTACAGATTGAGAAAGAAGATAGAGAGAGTGTGTGTGCGTGTGTTCTCACCATTGGAATATTTGATTTGTGAGAACGACAAAACTCTTCAAGTTGGTGTACTTCTTGACAGAAGTTCTGGTGAAAATAAGGGAACATGAGTCCAGTATCTGCATACATTCCTAAATTCATTTTGCTTTCTCTCTCTAAAATTATTTGCTTTCTTCACTGAAACGAGAGAGAGAGAGAGAGAATGATGAAGCAGGAGGAGCTTTAATGGAGGAGAAGCCCCTTTAAAGGACAGCGCTAAAAACAGACGAGCAGAAGACTAGCAGAAACAGTCGTAAATTGGGAAAATTATACTAATATTTATTTACTTAATACAAATCATTTTAAACTATGATCCATTTGTACTCTTTCTTATTAATTTTATAATTTTATAATTCAACAATTATCTTTTTTAAAATATTATTTTATTATAATTAATTTTTTTTGTTAACTTAACATTATTAAGGATTTATAAAAAATTAAATTATATGTAAAATATATGATACATTAATTAAAATTTTAAAGCATATAAGAACAATTTTAATGGTGAGGTATTGGAGCTGCAATTTCTATAAAATAATATGAAATTTACTTTTTTTATCTCCAATGGTGAGTTATTAAAGTTGTTAAAGGTTGGTTTGACATAAACTAAATAATACAAAAAGTCAAAAAGTCACTATCCTATTTAAGTGACATCATCTTATTTAAATCACATCACATCTCTAACACATCACATCAAATCCAACCCATATAAGCCAATAAGTCAAAAAATGTACTTTTTTAGAACATCCCAAACCAATCCTAAATTATATTTTTACTATATCTTTTGTCAAATTTAGCACTAATTTTACCTATAGTTAAAGCTGCTAGCGTAATAATTTTGAAAGGCCAATAATCGACTGAGTGGATAATCTGGTGGTTGACGACTTGGTGGAAGTTGCAAAAAGTGCTAAATTGTAGAATTTTGAAGCCCGCTGGATGTTTGGTTAAGCTAAAAAATAACAATTTCATCGTTGGAGTAACATTGTTATTTTATAACTTTTTTGCATTGTTCATTACTAAATTATAACTTTAGCTATCATTTTTACCAATTGACCGTTGGAGTTGCTCTAATGCACTTATTTTGGAGGTGTTTGAAATAGGCTAAAATAGTCAATAAAACAAAACACTTTATCGTATCAATCTCTCTACTTTGTTGCATGTTTTTTTTTATTATTATAAAAAGTCAAATAGTCAACTAAAATAACTTATTTCCAAATAAGACCTTGGTGATCTCGTTTGTACTTTGTCGCTAAGAGAAAAAAGACAGTGTAAATGAAATCCCTAAATAAGAGTATAATTATCTTAAAATAATTAGGTCTCTTTTGAAAAATGTCAAAAAAGTCAATTTATTAGTTTATTGGTTTATGTGGATCGCATCATCTCTCAATTTTTTGTTTATATTTTCGTAATAAGTAAAAAAAATTTGTACTTCTCAAAACAACTCTCAATCATGAGGTTTTATTATCTTAAAATTTTAAAATATATGTCATATGTTTAATACATGATATATTTTTTTTATAAATTTTTAACAGAATCCTAATAAATAATATTTTGATGGAATTAATTACTGAGTTTTGAAATTTATGAAAATAAAGTGCAAATATGTTATAATTTAAGTAGTTTACTATAATTTATTCTAAAATAAAATAACAAAAAAAAGAAAGAAAGGATCTATTTTGGAAGGCTCCAGGGGTTTTCGTTCATGACTTTGGACAGGACAAGACAATTTATAATAATTTGGGTACACACTAGCCGTGGTGCTTTGAGAATGACTACTCTCCCGTCTAATTACGGACCCGAGAATACTAAGTCTGTGAAAGTTTATTATGGGCTCTATTTTGATAATCAAAATTGTATGATATGTAGAATTCGTTAAGTATTATATGTCTGTAAAAAATTACGTTGATCGAATATCGTTAATTATACGATCAAATCAGTTATGCCTGAAAAAAATGGATGGTGAAAAATAAACAACTTACAAAAATCTGATTTGATCATATAGCTATCAATATCCGATCAACGCAATTTTTTATAAGCATGTAGTATTCAACTAGTTCTACACATTGAACGGTTCAGATTATTGAAACAGGACATGTAGTGAACCCTTATAGATTTAATAGTATCTTCTAGTCTCATTACAAATTAGAGGAAAGTCATTCCTTAAGATTTATGAGAGAATTGCAAAATAATTGCCTCAAGATCCATGCGGAGAGTGTTTTATGTGGGTCTTGAGATTAATTATGACGCGTGTAACTTGATTTAAATATTTAGTCATAAAAAAAAAATAAGTATAGAGGTGTAAGTAATTTATGTATTGGGAAAGACTTATATGTATCTCATAATTATAGAAGAAAATGAAATAATTTTATATTTTTTGAGTTATAATTAAAAAAAAGTCATAATTAAATATCTTAAAATAATATCATAATTAAAAGAAAAAATTAATCATAATTATAGAAGAAAATAATGGAATTAAAAATACATATAATATGTGAGTAAGTATAATACAACTCTCCTTATGTATTAGATTGTGTACAGTGATAGGTGGTTGGGAGTGAAAGCTTGGGCAGATCATTGGTTTAGAGTAGTTGAATATGGAGCCTAAGAGCTAAAATCATATCTATTTGCGTAAATTTTCAAAATTCACTCACAAAAACTTTATTCCAAGGCTTCAATCTAATTAAAAAAAAAAAAAAAAACTTTATACAGAGGCCAAATTGTAAGCATTTTGTTGGATATCTTTTATAGATCTGTGCCATTTTTGGTGAAGGTTGGATTTCGTGAAAATCTTCGTCGATTTCATCTTCTACAGGTTGATGGTAGTCAAATCGATAAGCAAAATCATTATTCAATCACCGAAAAATTTAAATTTTGTTAGCTATACACGTGAAATTCATATGAAAAATGCTCTGAATCCCGCAAGACCCCGGTGGGTTGTGATTGGCCAGAATTAATCCCTACGTATATGTAGGGGGTGGGGGTGGGTGGGCTGTGATTGGTCAGAATTTTTTTTTTCTTCTCCAATCACTAATCCCTACGTAAATGTGGGGGTGAGAGTCTCTATGGTGGTGTTTGGCAAGTGATTTTTGGGGTTAAAATAGTCACAAAAAATAAAATAGGCTATTTTAGTCATAACAAACAAAACATAACGTCCAACCCATAATCATTACACTCTTCTCTCACAAAAAAAAGTCAAAAAAGTCAAAAAAATCCTTCCCAAATCAAGTTTTTTAACCCAGGCTAAAATAACTAAAAAAGTCAAAAAGCCAACCCACTTCCCAAACGGAGGCATAATGTTTGAATTCATTTTGAGTTGTTTAGGTTCATGAAATCTAAATTTTTTATCTTTATCTTCTGATGCTTCGTTAGATTGTATATTTATTATAGGCAATTAGAGTAAATTTTACTGTATATTAAAATAAAATTTTATTATCATTCAGAATAAAATTTTTCTATCTTTCCATTACATGTAGTTTATTTATTTATTTTTTATCTTTTTATTTTGTTGTGATTGTGATATTTTGTGTGGATATTGGATGTTTTTCTCTGATAACTTTATCCTACAAAGCTGTATGTTTTGCCCTTGATGGCCTCTTGCCAACTTTTTTGATTTCTACTGTTTTTTTTTTTTTTTCGTGAATTCATTTTATGTTGTCTTACAATAAACTTTTATTGCCGTACAGAGCAAACTTTTATCAACAACAATCAAAACCGTTACAAATAAAGTACATCTTGAAGAATGTTCAAACGAAGATCCAACTCTATCTCGAATAAAAATTGAATAAAACTCAAATTGTATCTTGATTTATTCACATGCTCTGCAAACTCAAAAAAAATAGTGATTGAGTATTCTCAACTACACGAACTCCATGGACTATGATTGATGAAGAAAATAGCGCTCTGCTAGAGAAAGAACAGAGTTAATATCATTGAAGGATTTGATTCAAATTTATTTCATATATATCGAAGGCCCATATTATCTATGAAAATATGGAAACAAATCATTTTGTCCTTCATGAAAGATGTGCTTGTTCTTTAGGTACTTTAGATATTAAAAAAATTTAGACCGTTCTTTTCACTAAAAAATGGCCCAACAATAGATTTCAGTAAAAAAAAAAAAAAAAAACATAATATAGCTATTACAAGTCTAATCCTAAAAAAAAAATTAAATTTCAAATCCGATGTCCACTTAACTCCATACATGTGCATTATCGTTGTTGTTGTTTTTGTTATTATTTGAATGAATATTAAATTATTTAGATATTTTTAATAATTATTTGAATTTAAAACATTAATATAATTCAATTGTAAAATAAATATTTTTCAATCAATGTTTTGATTTAAGACTTAAAAATAATTATATATATATATATATTATCTTTTTATTATTTTTTAATATATTTTGTAACTAAATAGAAAATTAAAATTAATATTTTATTAATGACCCGATCGAGGTAAAATTCAAAATCTCAATGAAATCCAATCCTACGTATTAAATATTTTGCCAAAGCATTAAAAATATCAAGTTGGCTGGGCCATCCATGGTCACTCACCGCCGCACACCATGCCGTTGTTTTGTTTGCTGAATTAAGGTAGTATCTAACATAAATTAAATAACTGTATTTATTTAAATAAGTATATTTATTTAAGTTATATTATTTTTTTATTTTTTTTACATCTTTTTATAAAAAGTAAAAATATATATTTATTTAGATCATTTTAAATAACCCCTAAGTTGGGTAAAATTATAAGGGTCAAGCTTCTCTCTAATCCAAGATTGGATTGGAGCGTGTTGTTAGGCTAGTGGGCATTCATCACAGGTCTTGTTTCGATAATCTGAATCGTTTATTGTGTAGCACTCGTCGAGTACTTTATCCTTTTGAAAAATCACATTGATCGGATATCTATAGTTACTTGATTGAATCAAATTTTTATCAAAATAAATTGGCGACAAAAATCTAATCCGATCAAGTAGCTATTGATATCCAATTAATATGATTTTGAATAAAAATAAAGTACTCAACGAGTTCTACAAATTGAATGATTTCGAATTATCGAAACAAGACCCGTGGTGCACCCCATGGGCCCAATAGCACCGTCCAGTCTACAAAGTGGATTGCAAACAAGCCTGACCCAAATCTATATAATAAGGGAAGAGGGTTTTTGAATTTATCCTAGAGACAATTGTCCTACTAGGACATTTTAATGGTCATGATTCATTTG